TTTCATGTCCTGTTCATTCTGATTGGCAACAAATTTTTTTCCCACTCTTTGTGTACATAGGTGTAACCCAGAATTGATAGATTACTTGATTCAATAGGAATACATATATTTGCTTACATACTGTCTACTGGAAATACAAACCTGAATTTACTTTATAACATGGAAGACTTCAAGCCTGTACGAAAATATAAGAATCTATTGATCAAGTAAGGAAAGGATTTATTATCGAACTGTTTTTTAAAACTGTTCCATCGTTTTTTAAATCATTTTTGATTTGCTTTGTAACGTGGAGGACTTCAAGCTTGTATGAAGATATAAGAACCTATTGATCTCTGCGTATTCCTATATCAACGGAAGGGATTTCTTGAACTGTTTATATAAAATAGTTCAATCGACTTTTTAATATTTTAATATTTGGAAATCATCTTCGAATACGTTTTCACAACATCGCCCACGTGATCATATTTAAACGGAACGCTGATCTTATATAAAAATTTCAGTTATCTGTTTGGATTAGTTGTGCTCTTATGTCGATCGTCTTTTGTGTTAAATTTTTATATGTTCTAATGTTAATTATGTTTAAATGAAAATGTCCATGAAGATGGTCTTAAATAGACCGAAACGTCCGACGACTTTATATTAACATTAATACTACATAATTGCATATTAAGATTTTTGTTTGTTTTTTCTGTATTTTTCTTATGTGTATGTATGTATGTATGTGTGTGTGTGTGTGTTTTTAATCATTTAAGGCACAAGGAGTTACAGTGTGTTAGAGAATCTGAAACAAAAACCATTAAGGAGAGAGGACAATGAAAAAACAGGAATTAAGACAACTGACATTGCATTTAAATTTTTGATGATCAAAGTTAACTTTGAGGAAAGATGCCCGAAGAGAGTTCCACAAGCGAAATGTGTGATAGAAGAATTAGCAGACAATTTACAGTTACATCAAGCTATTTCAATTTTAAAATGAGACCTTGCTGCCAATATAGTACTGCACCTAAATTCATAAAGTACCATAGTGGAATGTTTATCAGAACAATTACCATGAAAATATTTATAGAAAAGGCCCAGGGAAGCTACGTTCTGGTGGTGGGAAATTGATTGAAACTGAGATGCCAAGTCAGGACCAATAATATTGCAGAAGCATCAGACCAGATGTGGCACCAATATTTAAAGAAAGAACAAATAGTAGACTTATAAATATTTAAGATAGATTTTGGCAAGAAAAATGGTCTTGCATGACTTAGTAAACAAACTTTCTTAGCTCCAGACTTAACAATTGATTCAATATATTCTTTACACTTCATATCAGCTGAAAACATTAGTCCGAGAAGGTGTAATGAATTACTTTCCTGAAGTTAGCATCAGCCATGCTGATGGAAGGCCAAAATGGTTTTCATGATTGTTGATGAAAATTAGAAAGGTTCAAGGATAGAACCCTGCAAAAAGATCTAAAAGATTAGCCATTCAAGCCACTTTCATTTTATGATTTGACATGAATCATTTCTTGCTCCAGTTAAGAACAGATTGAAGATCATTTATGAGATCAGCTGCCAATTTGACCTTATCAAACCAATCAGGCTTACTATTAAGACAGGAGTCAACAGTTGTGTCATCAGAATAGATACTGAGTTGAGAAGTGATTAGATCAGGAAGATTGTTGATGAAAATTAGAAAGGTTCAAGGATAGAACCCTGCAAAAAGATTAGCCATTCAAGCCAATTTCATTTTGTGATTTGATAAGAATGACTGAATCAGTTCAAAAATGAAACCAGAAATATAACCTCTCAACTTGTGAAGACCAGTATGCAAAAACCTGTCAAATGCCTTTGAGATATCCAAAGCAACAGACAGTTTGAATATTCTTATCTAAAGCTTGATAGACTTTCAGCAATAATCGTTAATACATCAGCAGTTGATCTAGAGAAACGAAAGCCATATTTTTTATCTGAAAGAAGATGCTGCGATGTGAGATGCTTAACCAATTCAGAGTTAGTTAAAACCTCTAGTACTTTGCCCAAAAGAGGTATAAAGCTAAGAGGCCAATAGTTAGAAGGATCAGCTGGTTTGCTCGAGTTCTTAAAGACTGGAATTACAGAAGGGGATTTCCAACAAGCAAGTTTCTATGGAAAGAAAAATAAAAACAGCTTATTTTATTTTTTACTAATAGATAAGTTTAAGAATTGTATTATAGAAATAGTAAATATGATTTATTTTGAAGTAAAACTAATTTATTGAAAATGAACTTGTATTTAATACCTAAAATTCTTTGGGACATTTATGTACACTAGTAAAATAACTCAAAATAAACCATTTTAAAATATCTAAGTAATTTAAAAATAAAATAAAATGCAGATTTAGTCGATGAGGCCTTGTGGCTAATAATCCTTCCTTTATATTTAATCCTTATATAATTTATATATTAAATTCATTTTACTATTAATATTTTTTTTAATATTTTATATTAATTAGTTTATATTAATATTTAAAATTAGCATTAAATATTATTTATATAATAAATGATAATCTTTATATATCCTTCTCAGTCTTTATTCAACATTTACAATCAAAACATCTGGTAGAATAAAAGACGCTAAAACTTACATCACTTGATCTCGTGTTCTACTAGTTTCAGAAATATTTTTCTATTTTTAGTATTTTAATATGTCGTAGATTACTGGAAAAATTCCAATTCTCAGTTGTAACAAGACTTCCAAACTGAAATGGCTCTATGGACATCTAAAATATTACCTTGGACCCCCAATTTGTGATGTTTTTGTGTAAACTCCCCACTAATGTTACATGACCCCACCCCTCATTCATGTAGATCCTGATTGAGAACCATTGCTGTAGATCTTAGCAATATCAGTATATGATATTTTCATTATCAAGAACGTTCATTTCTAATTAAAATGGAGCACTTTACAGTTTCTCTTTTGCATATCCAAACAGCCAACATCTATTGAACTCTAAGACAATTATTAAGTAAATAAGTTTCCTATTTCTGAAGTTTAATGTGGGTATTTGAAACTATGGATAGAAATTAACCACATTGCCTCATCCTTGTGGGTGATGAATTATTTTCTATCCTACAACGTCTTTCTCACAGAAGAAACATTGGCAGCCTCTCACTGCTCTATCGTTATTTCCATGGAAAGTGCTCAGTCAAAGTACATTCTTTAGTTCTGCCATTCCTAACCTTCACAGCTAAGATCCGCCATGCTATTCACATTGTAGTAAACCACCCTTATTATCTAACATTTTTGCTGCAAGATGGTGGCAATTTTGTGTGAACAAGCCTGTAGGTCTTAACAAGGACCATAGTTCTTCAAACCTTGTAGAAGTCCTGGGTATGACAGTAAACTACATCTAGCAGCAAGGCCTCTGATCGGAAGATTGAAGGTTTTGAGGTTCCCAGGTAACCCCTGACCTGGGGTGATAGTACCCGTTAGGGTCCCAGCTACAGACAAATGGTTAACCTTTAAACTGGGGTCAAAACACTATGAAAGTATAAAAATACATTTTTTTTGTAGTGAAAATACCAGCAATGCATTTTCAGAATAAAAAATTATTACAAGTAATAAATTTTGTTAAAAAAACCAAAAAAAAAACAAAAAACAAAAAACAAAACAGGAGCACTTTTTTTTGCAAAGAAAATTATTAATGTTCAGCAGAAAATTGAAAATTAGATTTGGTCATTAAATGACCCATAAGGAGTTGATATGCCACTAAACAAACAAGAATAAAGGCCTTCAGATGATTTTATAACATTAATCATTTCTCAAATTTGTAAAGAAATTTTTATTTCATTTTCAGCAAAAGTAAGTAATGTTTAATTTTAGAGAAGCAGAGTATTAAGAAAAAGATGTAAGCATAAAGACATTACTTAATTTTATTTCAAGTATTGTCACCCTTTTTTGATTAGTATTTCATTTAAATTTCAAATTGTTTCATTTACTTGTAGTAATTATTAATATCTTGAATGTTTATTAGCAGAAACATTGTCAATCATAATTTTCGATTCAGATTTCTTTAATCTTAATTAGGTAAACAATATTTGCTTGATTTTCTGAGGAGTTATTTCTATTTACGAAGAAAGGAAAAAAGAAAGGAAAAAAGAAAGGAAAAAAGAAAGGAAAAAAGAAAGGAAAAAAGAAAGGAAAAAAGAAAGGAAAAAAGAAAGGAAAAAAGAAAGGAAAAAAAGAAAGGAAAAAGAAAGGAAAAAGAAAGGAAAAAAAGAAAGGAAAAAAAAGGAAAAAGAAAGGAAAAAGAAAAAAAAGAAAGGAAAAAGAAAAAAAAGAAAGGAAAAAGAAAAAAAAGAAAGGAAAAAGAAAAAAAAGAAAGGAAAAAGAAAAAAAAGAAAGGAAAAAGAAAAAAAAGAAAGGAAAAAGAAAAAAAAGAAAGGAAAAAGAAAGGAAAAAGAAAGGAAAAAAGAAAGGAAAAAGAAAGAAAAAAAAAAGAAAAGGAAAAAAGAAAGGAAAAAGAAAGGAAAAAAAGAAAGGAAAAAAGAAAGAAAAAAAGAAAGGAAAAAGAAAGGAAAAAGAAAGGAAAAAAGAAAAAAAGAAAGAAAAGAAAGAAAAAAGAAAGGAAAAAGAAAGGAAAAAGAAAGGAAAAAAAGAAAGGAAAAAAGAAAGGAAAAAAGAAAGGAAAAAAGAAAGGAAAAAAGAAAGGAAAAAAGAAAGGAAAAAAGAAGAAGAAAGGAGGATTTTTTTTTTCTTTATTATTATTTCAGAATACCTGAAATGAGGAATTAATATTCAGACTTGCATATTCTGGGGTTTGTCATTCATTATTTCTAGGTTTTGTGGGAGATCTTAGAGTTGTTTAATAGATAATTATACATTAAAATGATTATTAGAATAAATAGCAAAAATGATTCTTTTGCATTAAGTTTCATAATTTTACCTAACTGACTATATTCAAATAATTCTTAAATTCGAATGAAACAACTTTTCTAGTAATTTAAGGCATTACACCTGTGTGTGTATTTATTTAATTTGTCCTTTTACAAATATATTCTGAATTTTTTTTGTTTTTTTATATATATCTGGATTTATATTTATTTAATTTGGATTCAAGAAGCTTAATTCTTTTTCCAATCTACTTTCATATTCACATTTCTTTTTAGTCCACTTGTCAATTTGAAAATGTTAGCTTTCTTAAAAGAATTATCAAAATAAAAAATACATGAAAAATAAAACACCTTTGAGTAAAAAGCAGGTTATTTAAAGTCAGAAAATATTTTTAGATTGTAAGAATTTTTAGGAGATAATGATTTACTCATACAATTATTACTAATTAGCCCATAGCTGGGTGAGAAGATGTGGGTGATGTTTATTGAATGTCAAGGAACCTATATTAATATATAAAATAATATCCCATATACCTGAATAAATTATGTTAACTAAATATAAGTTTCTATAGTCTATATCTTTGGACCTATTTGGAAATAATAAATTCACATTGCACTGTTTACATAAAATCTGAAGCCTCCCACCCCAACAAGTTAACGTTTACACACACACTAAATATATATATATTATTTTTTAAAAAAAAAAAAAAAAAAAAAATTTATAACAATTTTGTTATAAAATCACTACAAAAATAGCCATAACATACTTATGTTATAATTTTTTTTTTTTATAAAAAATAATTATATTTGCTCTACTTTGTATTGAGCACTCTTTTAAGAATAGTAATTGTTGGTTATTGGAATTCATTCTGTATATACCAATTATATACTTGGATATATATATATATATAAAAACCAAGACTTGCTTGATATATTGCTCAAAAGTAAACCCTGAAAATTTTTTACCAACATTAGTTAATACAATTGTGAAACATTGAATTGTGTGTGTGTGTGTGTAGACACACAGATACAAAATACCAACTGGATGATTGATGGATTTCACAAGAACGAAACCACCTTGATCTTTGTCAACAATCAGCAGAACACAAGGAACAAGGTATTCATAAAAATTAAGCAACAATGTGTTAATAATAATAATAATAATAATAAAAAGCCAACTTGAGCATCACCCATCTTAACTTAATCTGCAAGACCAGCTGGCTAATCATGACAAGATCTCCACTGGTGGTTGGAAACTCTTGCATTGACATAATCCATAATTACCTGGAAATAAATTGACTAATGTTTCATTCATGTCAAACATGTGGCAAGACACTTAAGTTGTACAGCTGTGCATTTCTTTTGTATATTTGTGAAGTTTTTATCAATATGGCATCCCCCCCCCCCGCCAAAGCAAATGTAATGAGTTTTGTTTTTTTTTTCTAATAATCCTATCAATGATTTGTATTAATTCCAGAAAGATCCATCAAATGCCAACACACGCAAAGAGTGGGGGGGGGGATAGATAGAGAAAATAATATGTCAAAAAAGGTAAGTATAAGCAAAAACTAAAAATAGAATAAGGGAAACAATAAAAAGAGGACTAAATAAAATTGAACTAAAGCGGAAACTGCAAATGTTGGGTAAGAATTCCAAATATAAAAAAAAGGTAAATACTGAACTCCACCTTACCTCTTCTGGGGAGCATTTCTACGTCGACAGCTACAATAAAAGTGAACATTTTAAAAAGAAAAAAAAGATATTTCTTTGAATATTGTATGGATAAAATCCAAAATTTGATGAATGATGGATGCAAGAGAAATAGCAAACAACTGAGAAGTGAAATTTAAAATGAAATGACACTGGTAAATCTTAACCAATAAACTTATTCAGTTATCACCACAGGTTGACCTCTCCTCAGAGACATTAGATATCATTGTGATGAAGAGAGACATGGCCTCATCACACTAACTGTTGCTGCTATAGTTTCTGTAGCAAAAAGGTTTTTCTTAACCCATAATAGGAGGGAGAAGGAATGTATTTGTGTAAGAAAACAAGGAAAGAAAGAAAACAAGACAAGAAAGAAAACAAGACAAGAAAGAAAACAAGACAAGAAAGAAAACAAGACAAGAAAGAAAACAAGACAAGAAAGAAAACAAGACAAGAAAGAAAACAAGACAAGAAAGAAAACAAGACAAGAAAGAAAACAAGAAAGAAAACAAGACAAGAAAGAAAACAAGACAAAGAAAGAAAACAAGACAAGAAAGAAAACAAGAAAGAAAACAAGACAAGAAAGAAAACAAGAAAGAAAACAAGACAAGAAAGAAAACAAGAAAGAAAACAAGAAAGAAAACAAGAAAGAAAACAAGAAAGAAAACAAGAAAGAAAACAAGAAAGAAAACAAGAAAGAAAACAAGAAAGAAAACAAGGAAAGAAAGAAAACAAGGAAAGAAAGAAAACAAGGAAAGAAAGAAAACAAGGAAAGAAAGAAAACAAGGAAAGAAAGAAAACAAGGAAAGAAAGAAAACAAGGAAGAAAGAAAACAAGGAAAGAAAGAAAACAAGGAAGTAAGAAAACAAGGAAAGAAAGAAAACAAGGAAGTAAGAAAACAAGGAAGTAAGAAAGAAAGAAAAAAAGGAAGTAAGAAAGAAAGAAAAAAAGGAAGTAAGAAAGAAAGAAAAAAAGGAAGTAAGAAAGAAAGAAAAAAAGGAAGTAAGAAAGAAAGAAAAAAAGGAAGTAAGAAAGAAAGAAAAAAGGAAGTAAGAAAGAAAGAAAAAAGGAAGTAAGAAAGAAAAATTAAAGAAAAATAAGAGAAAAAAGGAAAACATTTTTAAAAGAATGCTGATAATTCTATAATAGGATTGAATATACAGTGTTGTTCGATAAAAGTGACTCACCTTATCCTTTGAATTTAGCTCAACGTTCGTTTCATCGGTGAAGATGACATTCTTCCAGTCTTCTACGGTTAAATTTTTGTAATAGTGAGCCTATTCAAGTCTCTTGGCTTTGTTTATTAGCAGTTTAAACTTTCGTGTACAAGATTTGTAGCCTTGTTCTAACAGCCACCGACGGACTGTTGAAGACAAGACTCTTCGCTTAGACTGGCTGCAATTTCTTGGCTAGTTATTGTCCTATTCTTCGCAACTCCTCTCTTGATTACCCTGCCAGTTCTATCATCAATCTTTTTACCCTATCAGTTCTATCATCAATCTTTTTCTTTTGTCCCCTTGTTTCCTTCCTTGGAACAGGAGTGGCATCATTATGTGCCCTAAGCACTTGAGAGACAGTTGATTGCGAGGTTATAGCAATTTCTTCAATTTCTCTCATAGACTTGCCTGCTTTTGAGAGGGCAATAATAGATACCTTAAGTGGTTCTGATGCGTGTTTGTACCCTTTCATCTGGTTAGTGACTTGAGTGGCTATTTCAAGCTGTTTTTATACTGTATGAGGATTTCTGGAATATCCTAAGCTGTACTAGAATTCTCTGGAATATTGTTCTGAGTGTATTGTAAAATAGCTTTCAATATTTTGTCAAAAGTTCTTTAAATTTACCAGTTTAATCCTTAGAATGTGATATCTGAGTCACTTTTTTTGCACAGAGTTTTTTTTCCTGAATCTCATCCAAATTTATAATTATCAATAGAATACCTTATGGTGAATAAACTTTTTTCCTAGGTGGTCTGGAAAGGGGTCTTTATATTAGTAAGATTAAAAAACAAAAAACAAACAAACAATAGACAAAAAATATTTTTAGTAAAAAAGATCAGGTGAGTCACTTTTATCACTGTAGTTACTGCATAGAAACAATCTATTAAGTGATAAATAAAAGGAAAACGAATTTGGATGCTGTATCTGATATAGTTTGGAAATGAGAAGTTCTCAAACAGGACAGCATCTTTTTACAGGACAGCATCTTTTTGCATGTCAGCCATTTTCAGGTCCTTATAAACATTAAAGTACATAAAATACACGTAGGCTTTTGAAACTTTTGTAATCAACAAATGTCTCACTATTGTTACCAGGTTTCGAATCTATACATGCAATATTCTTGGAGCTATGAATATCAGAAATTCTTTGAAAGCCTTGTTTAGCAAAATGAAAAAAAAAAAAAAAAAAAAAAAATTGCATTGAAATTTCAAGATGCTCTTATTTTGAAACTATTTTATGAGACAGATCTAATATTTGAGATTCATCAATAAATTTCATCAACACCTGTGAATTTTCCCAGATTATTCTGAAAAGCTCACTAATGGCTGTTGGTTGATTTGAGATGGAATGACACACATGCATGCAGAGTTTACAAAATGATGGATTACATTCTTTTAAAGGAAGATGTTTTTGTCTAACACTTCTTATTCTCCCACCACCTTTTTCCAGTTTTGCCATTTTGATCATTTTTCTAACAAATATTTTGAAGAAGTGTTGGATGAAAAAAGCATCATTTAAAAGAAATGTGCTCAGTCATTTTAAAACCATATATTAATTCTGTGGTATAAAACTTTTGCTTAAAACTGTGTGTGTATTATATATATATATATATATATATATATATACACACACAAATATAGACAAAGAAATCAGTGATACATTGTGCGTAACTGCTAATCAACATTCAGTGATGATTTATATGTACAGTTTATATTTCCAAATCCTATTTTTTCAACATTTCTTTTACCTATTTATGTTTTTTTATAAACCTAATATATATATATATATATATATATATATATATATATATATATATATCAGGTCATGCCATAAGTTCTGTCCGAATTTTGAATAAAGAAAACAAGTGACAAAATGTTACATTTAATTACAGATTCAATCAACAATGTATTTTCCTTGATTATCTATGATTTCCTTCCATCTATTAACAAGCTTACTAATTCCATTACTGTAAAATTCTTTTGGCTTTGATTCGAAGAATTCACAAATGTCAGTTTTAACCTCTTCCTGTGTTACAAGAGCTGTTTCTTCCAAATGATTCTGTAAGCTATGAAACAAATGGTAGTCTGAAGGAGCAAGATCGGGACAATAAGGTGGATGAGGAATTTACTCCCAACCAAGTTCTTTGATCTTTTGTGACGTGATTCTTGCTGTGTGGGATCGCGCATTGTCCTGATGAAGCATCACCCCTTTTCAATTCACTAGAGCAGGTCTTTTTCCTCAAAGCTTGGTTCAAACGCTCTAATTGCTGACAGTATATTTGAGCATTAATCGTTGAATTAGGTGGTAAGAATTCAAAGTGGATTATTCCTTGGCGATCCCACCAGATTGAAAGAAGAACCTTTCGGACATAAACTTCCCTTCTAAGCTGTGGCTGGGGTCCTTCCCCTTTACCAAGCCACTGTCTATGACGCTTAACATTTCAATAAAAGATCCATTTTTCGTCGCCAGTCACAAGTCTATTCAAAAAAAGGTGAAACAATTTGGTGAGAATGGGGAGAAGAGCAGATGCCAACTCGGGATTTGAGGTTGTTTTCAGACAATTCATGAGGCACCCAAGTTTAGGAACTTTTCCAAGTTGTTGAAGATGACGACGAACAGTTGTATGGTTTGAACTGAGAGCCACTGCCAATTCCTCAACTGATAAAGCAGGATTTTCTTCAAGGGCTGCTTCAAGAAGCTTTTCATCAAACTCAACTGGACGTCCGGTTCAATCTTCATCTTCAAGGGTGAAATCTCCACCTCTGAATTTTGCAAACCATCTTCTGCAAGTTCTTTCATTCACACATTCCTCTCCATAAACTGAGTGAATGTTTCTAGCCGCTTCAGCTGCTGAGTTTCCTTTCTTGAACTCATAAAGCATTATGTGCCTCAAATGATTCTTGGGTACTTCCATGTGAGCAGGGTTTTAATCAAACAAAATTTAATTTTATTGTTCTCTGAAATAAAATTTGATCAGTTTAAATGCATCTAAACATAAAAATAATGTTCAGCTCCATTAGACATTATAAAATACTCTTTAAATTTCATTCATTTTAACAAAAAGTTAAAATTTGGACAGAACTTATGGGATGACCCGTGTAAAAATTATATATCATTACCATAAACATTATTTTTAGTGGTTATATTTGTTTGAGCTGACATCAAGGTTATTTTTAAAATATTAATGCTGAGACCTGCTTAAGAAATACAGATTCGATTTTTCTTTTAGTCTTCTTTTAGTAAGACTTCTTGATTCTAGGCTAGTTAACATTATTTCACTATTTAAAATAAGAGAGATGTTGAATAATACATATGCACCCACTAAAAATAACCTTTATTGTAATAATTAATAGTTAATAACAAAATCCATTAACTACTTAAAAAAAAATCTTTTCACCATTTGCACTGTTGTTAGAGGGCCAATCAATGCATATAAATTTATCATACTTTATGGGTACAATTTTAGTATTTAGAAATTTAAAATTACTATGAAGTCATTTTTTTCTTACTGCAAATGCTCTTTATACACAAGAGAAAAGAGGGTCAGAAAGAGAACTAACCACACACCAACCCAAGTATCTGCCTTGATTTTTTTTGTCAAAGTATTTACTTTTTTCGTTTGAGAAGTCATTTAATACTTAATGATTTCACAGAGGCTTAAAAAAAAAAAAAAAAAAAAAAAAAATCAACAGCTTAACTTCCAGTAATAACACACAAAGGAGAAGGAAAAGAAATTCTAAACTGTAGCAAAGACAATACTAGCTTTGTTTAAAAGTGAAAATAAATAAACTGTTACAGTAAATGTGCAAGAAATTAAACCTCCACTAGGTTAATGTAAAGTTAAATGTTAGAGGTGCACAATACAAAGTTTGCTGGTAATTGTTAGTAGGGAACTAAGAAAAACTAATAGTACTGTCTTTTTATTAAATAATCAACTAATCTAGAAAGAAGCTTCATCTATCAATTGTTTTCACTTTTTCTTCAAGAAAACCATTTTTAGATCTTCAGTTCCATAAAAATATTTGGGCATCATTTTTTTTTTTTTATTTTATTGTAATGATCATTGATTTTGTAATCATTACGTGATTCTGAAAAAAAAAAAAAAAAATTATCTGAATTTCTAGGCCGAGATATTATTTATATGCAGACTAGTCTGCATCTTTAATTTTATTGTCAAAATGTTGTTTGGGGGTTCTTATCGGAAAATTTGCCCACAGTGATGTCATGTGTAAAATAAATACCTGGAACTAGAACGTATATAATATACGCATTATTACTGTTACTTAAAATAATCTAATCATTTCTTTTAATAGACAGGCTGTAAATGAAAGACAAAAATACAAAATGAATATATATATATATATATATATATATATATATATATATGTGTGTGTGTAAAATGAATAATAATAATCAACTTACGATCCATTTTGAGATTCTTGATGAAGCTTCTGCAGTTTTGTTGTATGGACAGTTTTCTCGCCTTCCATCCTCAAGAGTGGTCCCATGTCAGATCCTAAATGTTTCTTGGCATTTTCATCAGCACCATGACCCAGTCTCTGGACAGGTGGATTGTCAGGAACATTCTCATTTCCATAATTGTGGAAAAGTACGTCTAATGTACCATGGTTCCTTTCCGCATAGTGCTGAGCATCCTCACCCTTCAGCTTTGGAATTGGTCGGTCTGACAAATCAATTTCACCATATTTTCCCATCAGAGTGCGCATGGCTTCTCCTTTATTGCTTTCTGCAGTGCGGAAGCCTTCAGTCTTGGTGGGCATGGCGTGTGCTGAATCACCATTCTTAGACACCCCACCCATCATTTCTGACATGCAACCTTTGTTCATAGCGTAATTTCGCTTAGCTTCTTCTGTAGGCAAGCGAACACCACCTCTTGGAGAGCTATTTCCGTTCTGGGTGCTACCATTAGTGTCAAAAAGGTTACCTGTACCATCACGGACTCTCAGGGCATAAGCATGAGCCTCGGCACTACGGCGGGGGTGGCTTTTGGGTTTGGGTACATATTCAGGGGTTCCGTTTATTGTAGACATTTTTCACTTTGGGTGTGAGCATCCAATAATTTTTTGCACTTGAACAAGATGATCTGAAAGAGAAACAAAAAGGAATTCAACATCAGAAAAAGACAAGAACAAAACTTAGTTTATGGTTCCATTTTACAATAAAAATTATTTAAACTATCTGAAATTCAAAAGATGAAGAAGTGGCATCATTATTATTCATAGCTTTTTCAAACTAATATCCTCATCTTGGCTGTTATCACATTTTGGCCATTTTAAGAATGGTGGCAAAGATATTAGTCTAAATAAATCATGGTATACAAAAGTTTCATTCAACTTCACAACTACAAATTTTAAAAGATGAACCTTAGTTTTTTTTTTTTTTTTTTTTTTTTTTTCATTTATTTTCTAAATACATTCCCAATGTAGTAGCTATGCATGTTAAAGAAAATAGGGGGGGTGCACACGAAAGAAGTTCTTTTCGCCTACTAAACAGTACCAATAAGCCTTATCTTTTCCCAGTTACTATTATCCTCATTATTGCAACCATTAACAACCAACTGTTTTTCATTTTTTTCAGATTCCTGTTTCTGAATTTTGCCAGAAACTAAATTCTGAGAACAAGCAAAGAATAATATTCAATATCAAGATGGTTTCAGGGAAGCAAGAAGCAACCCAACAACAAAATATGGAAGGCAAACAAACAAAATCATGACTATTTATTCCATTTTTTTTCTTGGCAGACAAGCCTCAAAAGAACCAAAATACCAACAAACTTATAACTGATAAGAAATCTTAAAACTCCCCTCCCCCAACAAATATGAATATTTCACTTCTCACATAAAGTGACATATGTGCATGCACACAAGCTTCATATTTTAGACATGTATATGTTTCTTATAAGTTTCATATGTTAAAGCGTTATCTAAAAATTCACGGCATTTGATGAACACAAGCAAATCAAATTACTCTGTTGTATCATTGTATAAATACCCAATGGAATGTTTTTGATGATAAATTTCTCTAACTCTTAGGTACCGACTTGCCGATACTAAATTGTATATTTAGTAAATAAAAACACACCAGAGACTATGTTCCAGCAAGCATTATTTATTTACTCATTACCAAGCAGAGGTTTATAAATTGAATATTTATCTTAAATTTAGATATTAAAAAACCAAATAAAAAGTCATACAATTACAATCATATTTATCTACAAAGATGGATAGGTGAGTGGTGAAATGGTTAGTGGCTCAAAACAAGAACTACGTAAGCCAAGTTTTAATTACTGTTATGTTCCATTACATTCATCTATACAAATACCAATGAAAATGGTATGCATCCATTTTTTGTCCCTCCTCCCACCAGCAATAGGTTAAATAGCAGAGCAGACTGGGCTCTCTAGCTGTTGTTGGCAACAAGTCAAGGAAAAGAGCATCTATGGATTCAAAACCATATCTAGCCCTGGTGAAACACATACTATACAGCTAAAGAAAGGATAATGGAGTTTACTACAGGGTTGTTGACTATGACCTTGACTGTACTTGATGAGGTAGAGGGTATATAAAAAATACCAAAATGAAAAATAATTTATTTTTCTTATTCCAATATGGAAAATTTTGAAAATGTCCAAATAAAAGGTGTAATTTGAAAACTAAATATACACAAATGAGTGAGTGTGCATGTGGTGTCTACTTAATCTGATATTTTAACTGAGTTATCAGGGGGTGGCCTGTTAATTAGTTACAACTACAAAATTTACTTTCAGACAGAGTCAGTACTTTGTCTGCGGCAACTCATTTCAGATTAGGTTTCAAAGAGATATCGGAACAGAAGACAAAAGAATCAAAACTATAGTCCTCCTTTTTCCAAAGAGAAAGAGAAAGAGAGAATACAGAGAAACACCTAAAGAGAACAAAAAACAACACACACACAGAGTTGGAACTTATTGTAAAATGGATTCAGGAATCTTGGGATTCTGTCAGTGAGGATGTTATAAAGAGAGGTTTCAAGAAGTGTTTTCTCATGACAGCCATGGATGACTCTGAAGATGACATCCTTTGACAAGAGAATGAAGAGGCTGAAGATAATTTTGAATAGGATGAAGATAATATTGTGAATGATAATTTGTTTAATGACAATTTAGATATTGATTCTATAATAGAAAGTGGTGATATTGATGAAAATTAAAATTTCAATAAATTGTTATTTTCAAATCCTCTTTTACTGAAACAAATTTATTGACAAAAAAATGTTGCAATTATTTTGCTGGATTTAAAATGAATATTGGGATAATGTTTTTCTGATTTTAGAACAAGTATGTATTTATTAATATAAATCAATAACAAAGAATAGAAAAAATGCATATTATTTTCAAGAAATTACTGTGTGTGTGTGTGTGTAATTGTAGCTGATAGTAATAATTCCAAGGGGGATATTAACCCTTTGATCCAGTGGTAGAGAAAAAATGGTGTAATGCCCAGTCACCGGTTAAACAGTGGTAGAGTAAAATGACTTAATGCCTAGCTACCAGTTGAACAGTGGGTAAACAGCTGTAACTATTTTTAGTATCTACCGTGAAACATTCCATACCAATTATTTGCGAATTTTGACTCAGAAGCTCAGGAATAAGTGTTAAAAGTGTTCAGAAATGCAAGGCTCAAAGGGTTAATCCAAAGAGAGCTCAATGTAAATTATTTTGTTAAGAACTTTTGGTTGGAAGAGGTGAATATAGCAATATTCATGAAACAAATTATAACTGAAATGGATCTTTAACTTTTTTTCTTGATATATATATATATATATATATATATATATATATATATATATATATATATATATATATATAGATATATAGAAAAAATTACAGACAAGAGATAATGGATAATCATAGTTGTTTAACACTTGTGGAATTTCTATGGATGCAGCCAGTAATATTGGACAAGATATTGGGGTGGGGGGGATAATTTGTTCAGCAAATAAGGTGTGGGTGAATTAAAATCAAGGCATGTTTTGTAGCAAATGTTACAGAATGATTTTGAAAAATTTTGCATCATAGTCAAAATGTTATTTTACAACACAAAAAATATAAAAGTTCTATGCTAACAGTTTCTTCTCTTGCACTTCTCACTTGTAGAATTCTTAGAGTCCCTTGCTTTCCAGTCAACTTTGATCTTCAAAAATTAAAATGCAGTGTCAATCACTATCTTCCACGTTCTTAATTCCTGTTAATTTTCTCTCAGCTTATTTTTAATTTTTCTCTCTCTCATATTCTCACTCAGTAATCCTTGTGTCTTAGTGGCTTTATTGCCTTGCTTGGGGTGAAAGGATTAAAATATAAAAAAAATAACTCGGACCCAAAGGCAAACAGTAACAGAGTAGTAGTAGATAAAGATAAAAAAAAAAGATGAGGATATTAGTCCAACTGGAAATAATAACTATCCCAGAAATTCAGATATAAATTAAGAGTTATTTTAAAATATAAAACAATTTGTCAGTCCAAGGGAAATACATTCTAAAACACACACAAACCCCTGAAGTCTTAAATATGAAAAATAGTATTTACGAAAAAAAGTTGACATTTATGTAAGAAGAAATAAATGCCTATGTGACATTAAAAAACAGTTTTTGTATTTCAAAATATGAGGGGGTGGTTTGTCATGAAATGATAAATAAGAAAATAGCCTCATTTCATGACAACATTACTATTTTTGTGAGCGCACTAAATGTTTGGTTACATATAAACAGAATATATAAACAAAGAAACATATGGTGAGATCACAAATCTTTCCAACAAAAACCATAAAGGATTCAAATTATTATAAAGAAAGAAAAAAAAAAATTTAGTAAAACAAATGCATAAATCTGATATAATTATTTATAAAAAATGGCCACAGCAAATTTAGGAATTTTATTTGACTAAAAGAAATAATAGCATCTGTTCTTTTCCAATTACAAAACAAAAATTTACTTTATTTCTTTTTAATTAACTGAATAAAATAAAAAGTGAAAAACTCCCAATTTTATTTTTGAGTCTGCATGTGTATAATGGCAACAAAATTCTAACAGGATTTTTTATATGAAATTGTATCTTGACTCTTCAATTGTTAATTTCAATTAAACTTAAAGTTGCCTTTAAAAAAAAAAAGTGAACACTGATATTTAGTAAAATATTGTAAATGTTTTTTCTTCTTCTAAAAGATGACATCACATCAAATCTACATGACAACAAAATTTAAATTGTTATCTTAACAGAACTTGTAAGAAAACATTGTAAAGGCCCATATAAAAAAAAAAAAAAAAAAAAAAGATCTTGCAGTTTTGAGAAATCTGCTCTGACTTGTGTTTCCATATTTCTACACTGACCCAACCAAGAGAAGAGATGGGTAAAAAAAAAAAAGTTCCCAGAAGGTGACATTCAACTACTGTCACAAAACAATACAACTCAATTTTGCCAACAAAACAAACAGGCTGGAGGTGGGAGAGAAAGAGACAAAGTCTCACAGCAACTTGCAATGTCTGGTGGTTCTTGGGGATTTATTTATTTATTTATTTTTTGGTAAATATAAGGCAAGAGTGAGAAACTGGGGTAACAGTGACATGTGGTTAAAATGGAGGAAAGTTGAGGAGGAGGATGATAGAAAAGAATCAAATTTTGAAAACAGAATATACAACAACAACAACAACAATAATGAACTTTCTACACATAGCAGCACATCCACTGGTTTCAAAACAATCCTACAGAAAAGGGGTCATTGACTGAC